TTGCCTATAACCAGGCATCATTGTCATATTTGTTGACGAACTCTTCATTAGCACTCTCCTGCACTAAGTGCTTCAGATGTGCTACTTTCTCATCAGCCGTCACTTCGGATGTTCCATCACGTTTCCTCAGCACACTGAGTGGTACAACCCCTTTAGTGTAGCTTAGCCTTAGCAAAATTAGCACAAGCAATAAAAGGCTGCAGATCCACATTGATTTCCTCTGTTACCCCATTGCACAGAGCTAACGACACACACTTGTTGGCTGGATCCAATCCCTGCCAAGCAAAGCATTATACTTGGCATTATTGTCTATAACAAAGAATGCTACCATGCAATCTCTGGTTCCCATACTTAGGTTGATGGGCAAAATGCCCTGAGCCATTTGTTTATCCCCAACAAAATCAGCAATGGTTGTGTTGGTTGGGATCAACCTAGGGTTTCTTTTTCCCAATTTCTTCAACGAGGACCTTGGAAGCAAGTTTACTGCTGCACCATTATCCACTAACACCCTGTTCATTTGTATCCCATCGAAGTAAGCCTTGATGTACAGAGGCTTAAAGCACTGGGTCATAGATATTATGGGGTACTCGAAGGGATATGAGAGGTTAATGCTTACCTCTTCACTTTCTTCATCAGTTTCTTTTGGATTGGCCTCTTCTGACTCATCTTGAACCATGCTGGCTGTGAATCTTCACTAGAAACTAGAATGGGGTCATTTTCCTGGCCTTCTTGATTTCCCTCGTCAACCTGGAATTCCTGTGGCAGCACATATACCACATTTACTGGCACTGGAGGGAATGAGCCAAACTAAACTACTGGTTGTACTTGTTTCCCTTCCAAATTAGCTTGTTCTACTGCCTCAAAAGCATCTTCCATGCTGCATTCTGGTACCTTTGTGCTATCAGGTTCTTTCGAAGCAGCCTATTGGTGATCTATCTCTGTTGGTTTGTCAACCAAAAAGGTTTGTTCAGCCATAAAGGCCTCAAACATTTCATCTTTAGCCAATGTTCTCTCTTAGCCTAGCTCAATCCCTTCATATGTCTCATCATCGCTTTCCATTAAGGCCTTCTCGAGGCCTGCTAAACTGGATCTTTCTTTGGCTCTCAATTTACCATGAACTTTAGCCAATTGCTCCATGTTGGCACTCCGCTTGATCATAGGAACAGGCTTCAAACCTATCACCTCATCTGTCTTGTCTTTTGCTTGTGTCATGGAAGTGTTCTCTCCATTTTCTTTCAGATCCCTCTGATATTGGGTGTATCTTAGTTGGATCTTCTTTCTTTGAGACTTGGAAATCATAAGAACCATATCTAGCTCCCTTGTTTTTAGGTCCTTTCTTTGATTTTTAGGAAATCATAAGAACCATATCTAGCTCCCTTGTTTCTTTAATAACACCCAATTGTTAGGAGCCACCAAAAGAGGTTTGATCATTCTTCGTTGGTCTCTAAAAGCCTTTCTTTGGGTAGGCATTTCTTTCACTTTGTTTTGCATATCAAACCAATCTGGAACTCTTGGACCCATGAGCCCAATGGTCTGGCTGCTAGATCTGCTGTCGCACTATTTAAAGCAGTCTTCAAAGCAATCCTTGGGGACCAATCATCAGTCCTGGTCCCATGCCTTGCACTAAATCCATGCTTCCTTTCACGCTAGTTGTCTACCCTGTAATAATTGGGTGGCCTAGTTTCATACAGACGCCTCTTACCATTTGATTGCATCCTGGTGTCTAGTACACTAGCCAAAGATGAATGTTGTCTACGACCAGTTGGATATGGCCTTCTGTTGTAGGTGCTAGCTGGTTTTTTATCCTTTTGTGCATCTTTATAATACTACTTCCCATAAACTGGGAGCCCCTTTAGCCATTTGTTACTCATCATGCATCTAGGACACATCCTCTACACTACAACTGGATCGAGGGAGTCGTCATCCAGTATCTCTTCACTAGAGGCATCCCTTTGGCATGCTGAGTTTTGTCCACTTGCTGGTGAACTTCAGGTGTCCTTCTTGAAGGCAGCCTGGCTAGCCACATGCATTTGCAGAGTGACTTCCTCCAATTCCCTTAAGAATAGGTTTTGGAAATCTGGCATGCCAACATTGGCTGCAGCCTCCCCAATCTCTAGAAAAGGATTGGTGTCAATTCCTATAGCTTTCTCAGTCTTGGCTGGAAACTTTAGCTTCCCCTTCCGAATCTGTTCTTGGATCTTGTCTTATAAAACAATACAACTTTTAGTTGAATGAAACCAAGAATTGTGCCATTTACAGTGCAATTTTCCTTTTTGTTCTTCACGGGTAGGGATCTTAACTCCCTTTGGTAACTTTAGGAAATTTGCTGCAAGCAAATGATCAAAAATGTCATATGTTTTTGTTAAGTCAAAAGAATACTTCCTATAAAGGTCTTTCTTTTTAAACTGTTGGTCTATTGCACTGTCTTCTTGAATTAATACTTCACAGGTCATAGGTTCTTTTCCTACGATCTCTGCTGCATCATTTTCATAGTTAGGGTCCCTATAGTAGGTCTTATATGACGCATTACTTTGATCTTGTCCCTCCTCAAGTAAAGATTCATATCTGGACACCTTATAGGTTAATTCCACTAAGTCTCGAAACTCAATTGAATCAAACTTCTTTCAAATCCTAAACTCCAACCCATTTTGAGCCAATCTCACAAATTCAGGCTCGGGTAGCATGACCCTACATTTGTTTCATGCTCTTTTAAATCTAGCAATAAATGGAGCAGCCTTCTCATCAGGCATTTAGCTCAATCTTGCCAAGTCTGCCATGGAAACCTCAGGCTCTGTTTGGAAAAGTTAGGCATGAAAAACCTCCTCCATTTGCTGCCAAGTGTAAAGTTTATATACCATACGAAGGCTGCTCTATTTAAAGAATTCGGAAAAAGTCTCAGTTTCATTTTGTCATTATTGGCGAACTCACCACATTGGCCTATAAACCAAGTAATGTGTTCCACCGTTGACTGGTTTCCATTCCCATGAAAAAGGGCAAAACCTAGTATTCTAAACCCCCTTGGATATTCATGTACCCTATTTACCCACTCTGGGTAAGGTTTTTTGTACACTGGTGTCTGGAACCCCCGAGCCATAGGTCTACACATTTCTCTAACTATATCAGCAATTTGGTCCCTTGGAACCATAATTTGTGCTGGTCGAATCACTACTGGAGGAACAAACACAGGGTTTTGCTTGAGGGCCTCTTTGTCCATATATAGCTACATTCAAAACTGGCTATCCTTGTTGTATTGGTTGCAATTGGAGGTAATAGTATAATTTAAGCGTGCCAGCAAGGATCAATTAGTCCTTACAGAATGTTAATTCTCAACCAATTATCAGACGATTGTGTTGAAGTTCTTTTAGCCTCATTGAAGAGGACTTTTATTTGTGGCTTGTTTTAGGAGAAATTTATAAGAAATAACAAGTACAATTCAAAAACTGAATTTCATTAAGTCAATAGAAACTTACAATGAAATGACCCAGCCTTGAAAAGGTTTACAATAACGACTACTTGAAACTACTCCTAGGAAATGAGGTGTAGTACAGGAATTGAAGTGCGGAAATGTAAAGAACTGGAAATGGAAAATTGGAAAGAAATATGAAGTAAATAAACTAGTTTCTAGATCTGAGTCTGGGTCCATATAGACACCCCATTTTTGACCATCCTCAAGACTTGGTTGTGCTTGCAGGTACATCCAGCCACAAGTTCGATTGCTCGTCGAGTGCTCGACTTTCCCGGCGGAACGTCACAGGTTTGAGCTTTCCAAACCCTGTATCCTTTCTGTTCCATTTTTGGACCATATGTTGGTCCTTTCAGCATGATTATCATAGTGCATTGCTGGCCACTGTTTGGCACTGCCAGCCATGCATTTTCCCCTGCCTGCTACTGATGAAGATACTTAATATCTTTGATTACAGCTTCACTGGCGGTTTGCAAGTGTTTAACTTCTGTTTTAAGAACATTAATTTCCATTTTTAAATCTTGTACAGTAGTTGGTTGTTCTACTACTAATTTTGTCTGAATTCTATTAATTACTGTTTGAAGATTATAAGAATAATCTGGAATGGGAGGAGTATCTGTTATAGTCTGCTGATGTTCATAGCACATTTTTAAATATTTTATTTTTATTTCTGGATCTTGGATTTGATCTGCAACAGCAAGCATATCCTTTTGTGTATCTGTTAAAACATTTATATTACTGGGTTCTCCTAAGTTTAAACCATTCATTTCCACTATGGATTTCCAGTAATTAATTTCTGATATTTGTTCCTGATTGGTACTACAGGGACATGGTTCTTCTGAATCATCCTCATCAGAGGAGGATGAGTATAACTGGTTAAGCTCATCATCCGAAGGGATTTCATCTTCAGTTGAGATTTCTTCAGCTTCTAAGGCTTGAATTAACTGGTCTTTAATGGCTGGATCAAGATTTAATTCATTGATCTTGGATTTAGCTTTAGATCTACATCTATTAGCATAATGTCCTGTTTGGCCACATTTGTAGCATTTAACTTCTGATTTGGATTTTCCTTTTGACCTACTGGTGGATTTTTTTGGATAAAACTTCTTGGTAGGTTTAGGATGGCTAGTTTTTGGGTAAGACTTTTTTCTGTAAGGTTTAGAAGATTTTTTATGTGCAATTTTTCTGGTTTTGGCTGGATATTTAATTCCTGGCTCATAAGCAAACTGGTCACAGAATTCTCCTAATTCTTTTCTTCCTGTTAGGTTTTGTTGTTTCATTTGATACTGGAGTTTAAGGTCATTACATAAAGAAAGACCTTCATCGGTAATGATGGACACAAGTTGTCCATAAGTATACTGATCATAAGGAATAGACATCCGGTCATGACGGTCCCGAAGTTTTTTCCGAACCCGTTCAGCAAAGAGAGTGGGAAGGCCATCAATAAACTTGGTTTTCCAATGAGTACTGTTAGCGTCAGGGCGTTGGGTAACTTTAAGGAGGAAAACATCCTTATACCATCGAAAATGGGTTAACGATGGACAACGCAAGTTCTGAAGAAGATCCTCAAGACTTGGTTGTGCTTGCAGGTACATCCAGCCACAAGTTCGATTGCTCGTCGAGTGCTCGACTTTCCCGGCGGAACGTCACAGGTTTGAGCTTTCCAAACCCTGTATCCTTTCTGTTCCATTTTTGGACCATATGTTGGTCCTTTCAGCATGATTATCATAGTGCATTGCTGGCCACTGTTTGGCACTGCCAGCCATGCATTTTCCCCTGCCTGCTACTGATGAAGATACTTAATATCTTTCCCGGCGGAACGTCACAGGTTTGAGCTTTCCAAACCCTGTATCCTTTCTGTTCCATTTTTGGACCATATGTTGGTCCTTTCAGCATGATTATCATAGTGCATTGCTGGCCACTGTTTGGCACTGCCAGCCATGCATTTTCCCCTGCCTGCTACTGATGATGCCTACCAGCCATCAGTGAGCCACTGCCGGCCACAACTAATGGCCGGCAGAACACTTTGTCTCAGCAGATTTCACTCCAAATCTTTTGAGCCAGCTGGTTTTCACTCATCCCTCCTCCATACAGTATGGAGGGATGAAGCCCTTTCCAAGCTTGTTTAACAAGCTTCTCATTGCATTCCTCTATATAAAGAGAGGCTCTTCCTCCCTTACAGAGGTTCAGCAATTTTGGAGAAGTTGTATCTCTCTCTCTCTATATATATATATTTCTCATTCTCTCTCTATATATATTGTGTTTGTTTGTGCTCTAAAGTCCATTTTTCTTTCACTTTTGCACTATAACACCTAGTGATACACCACCATATTTGAGCTGAGGTTCTTGAGAGTGTTATTTGAGCTCTGAAAGTTGGTTTTTGACCCCTGAGGTTGCTGGTTTCGAAGTTGAGCTTCAAGGGTGAGTATATTCCCCTTTTTAGCATTTATTTGTATCTCATTTTGGCCATCCTTGCATATTGTTTTAGGCCTTTCTTTCAACTAAAAAAAGTTCTATATTTAAGTGCTTTTGATGATTGTTTAAGGCCTCTTTGGTGTTTAGGCTGTTCTACCCTCTTGTATGCCTTGTTTGGCCTTATTTTGTGCCATGCTTTAAGGCCTTTGAGTTAGTCTTTGTTTGACTTTTTAGCCACTGAAATACAGTGAATTTTCAGTGGTAGGCATGTGGTTTTGAGGCCAAAAATCAGAGGGGGGGTGACCCCCTCTCTTTTTGTTTTGTTTGCTTGAGTTTTTGGCCTATCAAAGGAGCATGTATCCATATACTTTTGAGGCTTAGTTCAGGCACGTTTTTGTGACTTTTAGGACCTGCCTTAACTCTGTCCATGGCTGGTTTAGTCACCTTATGCATGCTTCTTGTATGTGTAGTGTAATCCCATTTGTGGCTCATCAAAGTAACATGTTTTGCTAGCATGTATTGGCCCCATTTCAATGGTTTTTTGCTCATCATTTGACATCTCATAACTCTGTCTAAATTGTTTTGGTAGTCTCTTGAGTGGCTCATGTACTTGTAGAACAAATCTTGCTTACTAGCCTTGTGTGCATGATGTTTTGGCTCCTCATTCTAGCATATTTTGGCTATGCTCCAGCATGATTTTATTCATATTTTGGGTTGTTCTAGGACTGTTTTGGGCTGCCATGGTCATATCACTCATGTTTAGTATAGCTATAGTGCAAATGCTTTGACTAGTCTTGAGTTTTAAGGGAGCTTGCATGCTTAACTTGTGATGTTTGCATGCTTTGGAATCATTTGAAGTGTTATATCAGTGCATATTTCATGGTCATACACTTGCCTTTGTTATGCTTTCAATGCCTTGGAGGTTTGACTCTTTATGCCTCAAGAATGAAGTATTGTGCATGCCATCAAGCCTAGGCCTTTGGGTCATCATATCAATGCATTTTTGGTCTTGTTGTATCATGATGTAACTCTATTTCATGTTGTCCAAGTCATGCCATGTTTGGTTTTAATAGGTGTAGTGTAATACCCCTTTTGTAGCTTTGCATGCTTCATGCTTTCGGCCTTTTGTTCTAGCTTGTATTGGCTAAGTTCAAGCATGTTTTTAGTCTCACCTTGACCTACCTTGGGACTGTTTTTGATGCCCTTGGCCCTTTGGGGCTTGCTTTGTATAGCCATGGCTTAAGTCCCTTTGCTAATTTCGAGCTTTGAGCTTTTTACATGCTTTGTTTGCCTTGCTAGGGTGGTTTGGCACCATTCCATGCATGTTTTCAAAACTTATGATGCTGTCACATATCCATGCTTGTCGCTCTTTAAGTGTGCTTATGAGTCGCATCTTTGTGCCTTAATCCTTAAGTCAATTGGCATGCATGTGTTGTCTCGCCTTTTCATGCTTTTCATACCATCATTTCAACACTATTGACCACTAATTTGGGTATGGTTGAGGTCTATTCATTTTGGTTTAAGTCTATTGAGCATTGTGTATGCCATGTAGTTCATCACATTGTGTATGCCATGTTGTATCATTGCATTTGTGTATGCCATGTTCATAGCATTGTGTATGCTAGTTGTTATTCTTAGCATTGTGTACTGTGCATGCCATTAGCCTTGTTAGGTAGTTTATGTTGCATTGCCCGTTTGCATGCTTGAGGTGTTTTGCATACTTGCATGCTCAAGTCGCATTGTGTTGCATGCATTGCATTGTGTTTGGCTCGGATATTTAGCCAAACACGAGAAATGAGGGATGTTTCATACTTGAAGTGATGAAATGTGCCTCAATTCTCGGTCGCCGACGCTCGGTCGCTGACGCTCTTGACAATGCATGATAGAGTTCTAGGCATTTGTGTGTTTTTTCTGTGTGCATTCATTTTACATTGAATTGCACAAGTTGGATCTTTGGCCATCATGCATCGAGATGCATGATTGATGGTCTTGGATCCGATTATGCCTCTCCCATGATGTTTTGAGGTGATATGGAGTGGCATAGTGCGTACATACCCTTGGGAGACCCTCCATTTCCTCTGTTTTGTGCTCTGTTGTAGCTTGGTGTCACAGCACACCAGTGGCCGACAATGCCACACAGATGGCCGACAGATCTTCATTTGTGGCCGGCAGTGTGCACTTTTGGCCGGTTGGGTGGTCGACAGCAGCTCCTCGTGGCCGGCAGGCCACTGGTGCACTATGATCCAGCAGCTAGTTCTCAAGGACACCCTGCAGATAGAGCCTCTAAAAGAGCATTTGGAGAGCTTTCGGGACGGGAATCGAGCATGCATCTTCAACTTCTTTAAGGTAGAGCTGAGGCAGCCTAGTTTACATATTTTAATGCTTAGCATGAATTTGTAATTTAATTAATTCATTTGTTTGATTAGTTAAAGATTTGTAATAATTAGTTGTAGCTAGTTATTCAATTTGGTCGTGTAATAATTAGTCTAATTAGATTATTAGTTTAGTTGATTAGCTTAGCTTAGAGTAGCTTAGCTTCTATTTGGACCCTCCGTCGAGAGGGCGAATTGTTGTAATAAGCGTGCGTGTGTGTGATGCATGTCTTCCAACCCCCATTTCTTTCTCCCTTTTACTTAACCTCTTATGATGGTTAGTTTTAGGGCATGTTTCGATTAGCATATTTATACTTGCATGCGTGCATCCTTCATCTGTCTTGCATGCACCAGGCTCGGCGTATCATACAAACTGCATTGTATTTCAATTACAATTTGAATACATGTTAATTAAGTTGCATCTCATATGCCATCTTAGAATAGCCGAGCCTATTTCTAGTTGCATCTTGCATGCGTTGCATTAGCCATCTTAACATGAACTAGGATCATGCATTGATTTCTAACTAGTTCTCTGTTTTGGCTCGGAGTACACTGTGAGTGTTTACGCTTTAGCACAATTGCATGTGTGTTATTGATTGCCATGATAGCATGCTTGTCATGAGGCTAACTGCTTATGTGATTAACTGCCTGAATGCTTGTGGATGAAGGTTGGATTGCTTGAATTAGAACAATACATTGAAATCCTCGATTTAGCCTACTTGCGAGTAGCAAACTTCAAACCATTTTCAAACAAACAAATATGCAATGTTTTGTTCCAAATTAGGCGATCTAGTCTATATTTGTATGCTGTGCGCATCACGTAGTAATCTAGCTAATAAACCGGAATAAGAACGCATGTGTTTTCGAAAACAAGATATCATGTTAGTACAGGCCGATCTTTGATCGGGCTAGCGGGGGTGCTCATTGCATGACCTTCCCCTCTTGTACCCAAGTTCCTAAGCCGAGGCAACTTTGGTGATGACGGACACATGGCCTTAGGCACGAGTCAAGGTTTCCTAAATTTCTCAAAAATAAAATATTTAGGTGGCGACTCTGTATCTGGCAAAGCAGTCCATGTTTGGCACTTCTTTATTAAAATCAGTTTTCCAAAATGATTTGTCGAATTTGGACTCTTTGGTGATTTATCGGTCTTGCATTGCACTTTGCGAGATCAGATTCAGAACCGTGACATTGAGTCCGAACTGCAGTAGTCCAATGAACAAAATGGGATTTCCGCACCAATTTCGCGCGCGGAGCCCGGGACGTTCAGGCACGTCTACAGTCCATCATTCTGGGGCCTTCTTCTCTATTTATACTTCCCAAAGGTAACCGCCGAAATGGGCTTCTAACCGTCGAAATGCACTTCCACGATCTATGGTCATGGCTTCGTGCAGTCAGCTTCCACTACGCCATTCCTTCAGTTAGGCTTCCCTCCTGTATTTGAATTCGAACTTTTAAGTAACCGTTGACTGCTTCCATGTAACGCAGAGCCACTATTACCAATATGAATTGCCACGTGTCTATTGCTGATTGGAGACTTGCATTAATTCCCCAAATCACCCATCACAAATCACGCGCTAAGCTGCGATTGGTCTGTACAAAATATATCGGCAACAACAATAATAAAATTATCTAAATTATTAATTGAAATACAATTTTAACATCATTAAAAACTGTTAATTAACTTGATGATTTATTAATAAAATGACCTATTTGTTAGGAAATTAGAAACCTTAGGGGGCATAATGCAATTCTAAACTCACAGAGAGTAATTTGTAATTTAAGTAAA